TTTTTTCTTTCCAATTGTAATTAACAATTTGTAGAAAAAATTTACGTTATTTTATTTATTTATTTTTTTTTTCTGTCCCAAATTGATATAGCACAATTTTTTTTGCAAAAAAAAAAAAAAAAAAACAAAAAGAGGACAGACGACAAAAAATTGTTTTATAATTGAGTAAGACACCCCGAATCTTTCTCGTGACTTTTGATATGCAAGGATGAGACTTCTTACCCATAACTTTTTAAAATGGTACGTTTAAGAAAACAGAAATCTTGGGCCAAGTTAGCGCTTGGCCGTGCACAGGTGTACAATATGTTATTGTATGCGCATGTTGTGTCTGGAAGCAGCCCCACAAAGCGTGCGCAAGAGCGTATATATAATGCATATGTACATGTATATATATTATATACATGTGGAAGTTCTGTATGTGCACATAAGCATCGCCTAACGCTCGCGCGCACCACTTATACGCTCGTTCCCCCCGTTCAGCAACGAAACCCAGTGCGATGGAGGATACCCGCTTTCACTAGTACTGAACAGTGACGCGGAAGAAAATATGAAAATAATAGAACAAGAAATTAATGTAGAGTTTGTAAAAAATGTTTTAACGAAAGTGGACTATGACGTTCTTTATCAAACGGCCACACAGGTACATGTCTCTCATTGCATTTCCTTCTTTTTTCTTTTTTTTTTTTTTTCCCATTCCGTGCCTTTTTCATTCTTATCGCACCGTGCGAACCGTGGACGCAAGAAGTTCCCAACTATTATATTACGATGTTGCAACTTCACAGTATCCCCCTCTTGTCACATTGTCATAATCGCTTATTTTTCTCCCGTTCCCTTTTAGCTAGGGCTAAATTTGCCAGTTAGCTACACTACCCAACACCTTGAGGATGAAGAATTCTTGAACTCAATTCACCATGCCCTTTTTAAGGTACCCACATGAGAGAGAAAAGCTGTCTTAATCTTGCACATGAAGAGGAATAAGAAAAGTTATTACGTCAAAATGTGTACAGCGGCAAAAAAAAAAAAAAAAAATTCAACCCACTATCATTTTGTAGGTGCACATAATGGAAGCAACATTAATATGTCCCAAATGCAAGGCCTCCTTTCCGATAAAGGATGGTAAGCCGTCCTCTTCTTTTTTAAGATGATGAATCAAGTCGCAATGCGGACTTTACACTTATATGTGTGTATTTATGCACCCAAATATTCATGTCCAAAACCCTGTCTCCCCCCCCATCGAATAGGAATTCCAAACATGCTATCAGGAAGCGAAAACCAAATGACATGACCCCCTTTTTTGTTTCTTCTTTAAGAGCATTTGACAAGATATTTAACGTTGGGATACTCCACAATTATGCACGACTCATCATTTTTGAGGAAAAATATTTTGGGCTCAAGATAATTCGATTCGCTAGTTGAATACAACACATTGTTAATATCTTGGCTTCTTTTTTTCTTTACGTGTGCGTTTGTATGCACATGTAAATCTTCATTTGTACGCTGTCTTCCCATGGTGGTGTACGCACCACCTTCTTTTTTTAAACTTATCGTTTGCGCCTTTAGTCTTTCCCCATTTAGTTCAAAATGGCTAGTTTTTTTTTTTTTTTTTTCGCCAATGTATGAGTCAGACAGGTCACCTTGCTTGACGCAGTTGCTGTCGTCGTCGTAACTGTGCCCGCCGTGGTCACTATCACCGTCATCGCTGTGATTGGCAGCGCCAGTCCCCTTTTTTGTCCCCTCCAAATCCCATTTTTTATAATTCAGAATTATTTTCTCAATTACATGCGCAACTGAACTGGCCAACTTTCCGTTTGAATTCACCACCTCAGCATTAACCCCCCCTCTGATTTTCTCATCCAGTTTACCCCCCCTTACACCTTCAGCATTAAGAGGCTTCTTCCACGCCTTACTGTTTTTTTTCTTTTTCCACAAGTATATGTCTTCACTGGAGCAAGTGGAGTAACCATCCATGGTGTTTGTGTGGACACTGTCTGAGGTGGTCGCCATATTTGTATAGTCGTTCCTTTTCTCCACACTAACGGAGCGATCATTCTCCCGATAATTAACTTTGTTTTTGTTTGCCTCTCCATTTGTACGTGCTACATTTTGATGTCCTTTCGTGGGGCCCTCACCATTGTGCCCCCCTAAATGCATGCCTTGCTCTCTTTTTACGGCACATTTATCCTCGTTTCCCTTTTTCACAACGAAAATTTTGTATGTCTTACTGGCCTTTTCTGATTTGTTATTTCCCCATAATCTGTTGCTGTTGTTTGGTACGTCGCCAGAATCAACTGAACCAGCTTCACCCGCTGATGCATCTGAATGGTCCTCCTTTTTAGGAACTTGAGCTCTGTTACTTTTTTTGTTACCGTTAGGGGACCTAGTTGGGTGCCCCTTGGAAGGGTTGTCTCTGATATGTTTCGTTTCACCCCTTTTGTTATTACCCATTTTTGTGGGATTCGCACGATTTTTCAGGTTGCTTTGGATCTCTCTCCCCAATTTTGTGACTCCCCCATGTCCCTTTGCCTTCCTTCCACTATTACTACCCACCTTGCTAAAGCACGCAGGTGAATTTATTTTATTGTCCTCCTTCCCCGCACCGGTCTTGTCTACGCATTTTGTGCACTTCTTCGACGCATAATATTTCAGTCTTGCCTTATCAATTATATCATCACTAATTGCCATTTCGTTCTTCACTATGGGGCGTTTCATCCCTCTTAATGCTTCGCAATTCATCACCTGGTTTTCGCTACCCCCCTTTTGAAGCTCCATGTTATTTGCACACGATGGATCCTTTCCCTTGGTATGCAAATCATTAACAAGTTGTCCTTTTTCCTTATTTTTTAAAATTTCACAATGAGAATGGGATCCTAGTGCAGTTTCACCATATCCTTTTAGCACATATTTACAGCCGCTTCTTATCACGCCCTTTTCCACAACTGTTTTGTTCACCTCCTCTTTGCAAATGCGGTTCGTCACAATGCCATCATTCGAGTGGTACCTACCTTCATGTGTGTTATTCAGTCCATTTTGATTTTGTTTTCCTGAAATGATTATTTTTCTTTGCTCGTCCATCCTCAGGTTACCCCCTTGTCCACACACATTTCCACGCACATTTCCACGCACATTCCCACACGCAGTCCGACATACACTGATGGCACGAACGCACGGGGTGTTCATACAATTCATTTTACGAACAGTGGGTACAGCTCTGTCAGGCAAGCATCCCGAGGACCGAGATCTGTCACACTTCTGATGAGACAAATCGTGATTTTTCACGAAGACGATTGAGCTAGTCGATTTGTTTCTCCTCAAACAGTTGTCATTTTTTTTTTCATTACAGAGGCTGTTATTCCTTATGTAGGAAAAGAGCTTCGTAAACAGGCCCTCCTTCTTGGGTTGATAATCCCCTTTGTTTGCCACGTCGGTATTCCTTGAAGAAAGAAAACAGCTTTTTTTATCCGACCCGCTTACAGCTGTTTTTCTCTTAGGCAGGCACTTAACACTTATGGTGCTGGATGAAACAGGGTACTTAGTCTCCAATTTCTTGTAGCTATTTGTCCTACTCGTATTTTGCTTCTGTTTTGAGTACCCCCCATGTTGCGTCTCACATTTTTTTCCGTTCAACTGGGCAAAGTTCGAGCTTCCGAATTTTCCTCGACTCGTACATCGTGAGACTTGTTCACCCCCCACCGCAAGTGCGTTATAGTTGTTCTCCTCCCTCCTTTGGAACTTTCCCTTTCCGTTTATTTTTATTAGCCTTTTTTCTGTGTGTGGCTTAGGCCTGGATAGTGTGTCTTTCTTATTTCTACCCCTTGCTATACCGCTTAACCCTTTGCTGTTGTAACCGTTTGAGTGCAGACTCGACCCCCTTGTCTTATCCCTTCCCGAGACATCATTCTGTGTTGTGTCCTCTGGTGGAGAACAAGAAATGTTTCGATCATGCAAACAGGACTTGTCACTTGTTGCATCCTCGACGACCAGATTTGTGAAATTTCCAAAAGGTAAGCAACATGTGTAGGAGCAGATCCCCCCCATCGGAACTCCACCATATGTGCATCTTTGTAGATATGGCTTCTCTTCATATTTTAAATTCGATTCCATGGGGGAAGTTTCCACTTGGGCAAATTCTTCTGTTTGTACATCGGGTATGGGTTCGTTTGCACCTCCAGAGGGTGCCCCACATTGGTTGAGATCATTTAAGCGAAAAGAACCATTTTCTCTTCCCCCAGGAACAACACAACTGGTACATAAGCAAGGATTAAAGGATTTGGCAAGGTTACATTTTTCTGCCTGCACGGTTGACTCGTATGTCTTCTTCATCTGCATGTCTTTATCAACGTCTTGATTGTTACTTAAAATGATCTCCATAAATGTGGAGGGTTTAGCCTTTATTAAATTTTTGTAGAAAGTGGTGTTTTCCCAATTTTTTTCCTTCCCTTGTTTTTTGCTTGCATATTCCTGTTGCGCCTTTTTACGCAGCAAATTAATTTCACTCTCCTGCATCATCAAACACATTTTTAGCTTCTCGTTTTGTTCGCTTTTTAAATTTATCAACTTGGTTAGGGTTGCCATTTCTGCGTCCATCTGTGCCTTCACCTTCATTTCTGCATCCTCTGAGTAACACGTGGATACGCTCCGTTTCCTCTTCCCCTCTATTGCGCCCCCCTGCGACACGTCTTTTTTTGCAACACTTTTTACCCCTTTGGAACAGTCCTTTTTTTTCCCCCTTTTGGTGATCTTCCGTCCACTCGAGATGTTAGAACCAGATGGGTGACTGCTCGGGTAGCTAAAACTGTAATTTGCTCTTTCTTCATTGCCGTGTGTAGTTACTCGTAAGCTGTGCCTCGTACTATTGGTGTGCTTCGTGCCTGTGCTGTCCTCTGACTCGGGTGCCAGGTGCAGCAATTGATTGTACAGTCGCGTCCCCCTTTCCTTTTCATAATTTCCTCCTACTATGTGCACGTTATAACATTCGGTCGGCCTGTCTCCGCCCCCTTCTCGATTTATCCAATCCCTTTTTTTTTTCAAGTGAAACTGATTAAGCTTGTTACACGTTGTGTATGATCCCGTTTCCACCTTTTCCTTCTTAGTCAATTTTAGCAGGTCCTCAAAAATTAAACTGGGCTTTTTCATATCATAATCTAAGGAACAGTCGCCTAACCCCGCCACGAATGCTTTTCTCCTCATGTCGCTACTTCTTCGCTTATTCGAGATGGTTGTTTCCCTTCCGCTGTTTCTACTGCTCCCTTCATGTAAATGGGTCCTATGTGTGGCATTATCCTCTGTCGTTAAGAACGAACTTTTTTTTTTTTCTTTTTTCCTTTTCTCTTCCGTCTTTGCACGGGGATTCTTTTTCCTGAAGCCGTCTTTCCAATTGTCTTCCATTTCACTGCGTTTTTCTTCTACATCGCTGGGGATTTGTCGCCCCACAAGGGACGTAACTCCGTTCTGCCCATTTCGTCCGACGAGACTCCTCGAAGAGCCTGCGCTACCGCTCATCTCCTGGACTGGTTCACAATTCTTCTCACGGGACGCATCACCAATACTACGTTCCATCCTCCTATTCATTACTTTGCGTGCGCACCCTCCAATTGGTTCTACCCCATGTAGGAACCGTCCAGTGTTTTCCCTCTTCCTTGGTGGCATATTTTTCAAATTAGGAAGAATCTTTCCTTTTTCAAACCCATTTGTGTTTTTATTTCCTTTCATGTCGATACCCTTTAGCCCTGATAAGTGAGCATATTTGGCCTGATTTGCGCGTTGCTCACGAGTAGTGATTCCGCCGCTATTGTTAACTGTCGTTCCCCCTTCCCGATGTGTCCCCTTCTTCGAAACAACCACTTCAGGGCCAATTTCCCTCTTTACCTCCTTCCTGGATCCACTAGTGCTATTCCCACTCCCCCTCGACTTGGAATCCCCCACGCAGGAGTCTGAGTCAAAGTTGATGTCTACTTCCCCCGATATAGAAATTTCATACAAGGAACTTTCCCCTGAGGAAGTCTGGTAGTGCATGTCTCGCTGTTGTCTTCTTCTTTGAGTATTCCTGGTAAATGGTTCTGGACGGCTCGCTTCCCCCTTTGCTGTGTTTTTTTTATTCTTCACTCTGCAATTAGGAGTTTTCCGTCTGTCCATTTGAGGCTCGTCATGCTGGTTCTTTTTAGTTTGCCTTCCTCTTCTAGATTCGCTTCTGTTTCCAATTTTATATATGTTTCCCCTCAGTAAAATATTATTTGACACTTCCTCGACTCCTCTACTAGCTCCTACCTTGGGCTCTTTCACAACATTTGTTTTCATTAAAAAGTTATACTTCCGTTCCTCTTGTGTGTGTCTACCATTTGCAGAAATGGAAGCATTGTTCCCTTTCCCATTTTGCGAGTGTATTTCTTTAGTTAACATGTGTTTCTTTGTATCGTTGAGGTTAATTTTTTTTATATACTCTTTTTGTTTCTTGTTTTCCTCTTCGTATTCTCTTTCTCTTCTTTGAGTGTAATTATGTGAGTCATTAGAAACGATACTCGTTTTTGTCCCGTCCCTTTTTATGTCTCTATCTTCACTACCTTTAAGTCTATACCTGCTGCTGTTTATATTGGTCTCCACTGATAAGTTTCTGCTGCGTTCATTTTCAACCTCTTCCTTATGTAGGTATATTTTGGAATGATTTTTCTCGACCTCACTGGAATATACATTTTTCACTTGGTCTAATCCTTTCGCAGTTGAGGGGACCATAATTCTGTGGGTCCCTTTGCTTTGGCCTACCACTTGGTTGTCCCTTCCTGCAAATGCTTGGTCTACAAAATTCCCAGCTGCCTTCCCCACATCTTTGCGCACACCCTTCCGCGCCCCTTTTGCTGCCCCGTTTTTAGCCCTTCCCGCAGAGCACCTTCCAATATACATCCCCCCACTTCTCCTCCTCTTAAATCCTTCATTCTCCTCTCTCTCACAACCGACAGCCTTACCTCTCCCCCTCTGCGACACTTTCAATTTCCCTCTTCTGTTAACTTCAACGGAGGACCCCAAAACGGGGATCACTTCCCTTAAGTAATTTTCCCAGTTGTTGTAAAATCCAGGGGGCATACTCACCGGATAGTATTGTGCCAAATGCTTTTCACCCTTGTGGCCTTTCTTTGAGCTGCTACATTTTAAATTGGGGAAGCAGTTCTCGCTCGGAAAACAGCAGCCTCTCCTTAGTCGAGGGATAACGCAATTTACCATTTGGTGAAAACGAGTTGGTGTAAATATATATATGTGTATATATATATTTTTTTCTACTTTTGTGGGTAACTTCCTTTTAGCACCCTGTGGCAATTTGACACTCTGGTAGAACTAATCTGGCTTCTACCGTTTTCACCTTTGCATCTCATTTCCAAATATTTGCCGCTTTGAGTGGCGGTTTGCTTGTCTTAAGCGTGCCAATTTATGCGCACGCACGGATGTGTACATATATATATGTATGTACGTGTATTTTTCTCATCCATTGAGAAATTCTCCCCAAGTAACCATATGGGAGACAATACCACAGCGGGTGCTACTCCAAGAAAAGGAGCTTCACATAGAATGCTAAAAGGACGTTATTATTATTTTTTTTTCTTTACACTTTTTGCGCAGTGCAAAAGTAGCTTATGTTCCACCGCCTAACACTTTAACACAAACAAATAATGTAATTATTCTAAAAATTCGAGCATGATCTTCTCATACTTGTTAAAAAATAAGCCCAATGTAATGCAAAAGTGTGTGTGATGTTGCCGTATACCAGGCAGGAATTGGCAAACAACAAAAAAAAAAGCTGTACACTAAGAAAGACCACTCAAATGCTAACATACTGATAGCACTTTATCACATAAGTAATTTTTCCCTAATTTTGAAATGGCGAAAAACTGAATTTGTTGGGAAATATAATGCATTTCACCATTTGTTAAACAGTTTGGTCATGTGCAATTGCAGCCTAACTTTACAACAATAAGGAAAAGGCGCGCCTTTGGGATTTTTTTTTCCCTTTTTGGCAATGCCGTAAGCAGTATTATCTTGCCCATTTTGTTACACTGGTAAATGCTTAATATTAATTCTACTTTTATGTAGGCACCTCCTCATTTAATTTGCCCCTATTTTAGCAAAAAGTGTAACTGCACACTTTGAGCACTGCGATGCCCCGTCTACATATGACTCTTCTTCCCTTCTTTAAAAAACCTGTGTTATCTTTATTTTCCTTTTTTTGAGATCAGACAATGCATTTACCGTTATGAAAAAAATGAGCTTCCGTGCAAATGGGAAATGGACAATTTCATTCAACGCGCACATTTTCTGCATATACAAATGTTTGGGGTTAGAGCCTCATTTAATTTGTTATTCCAAGGTGCAGTCGAATAATTCTTAATGGTTTAATAAGGCAGTTGTACAGTTAGGGCCGGAACACATGTAGGTGTATTGTATATGCGTTATGCACATTTACAAAGGGGGGCTCCACTATGTTTGCTACGCAATTGCACGATAAAACCATGAGAAACAAATAAAACACATTTGTTCAAAATAAAATAACAGAGGTACAAAATTCTGCTTGTCCTTGCACAACGGAGGAGCCATGGAGTTTCACTTCTTCAAAAATTCAGTTAAATCATAGCAAAAGAATAAAATTATTTCATTTTTCTATAAAAATATCTCCGCACAAGAATTTATTGTTCTCATGGTCACGATACTGCAAAATGTGCCTCACAATTAAAGCCGATTGAACGTGTCATTCTTGTTTTTTTTTTTTTTTTTTAAACCACATGGAAAATTTTATTTAAATGCCATTTCCGTTCACGAATCATCAAAAGCGGCATTTCTCCGTACAAAAAAAAAAGAAAAAGAAAAATGTATACCCATTCGTGGGTACATGAACACCCACGCAAGATCATTTCTTGGGCAACGACCATGTGCCATTTTTCACTAAGGACCTTTTAAAACAAGTTTTTTTATTACAACGCAGTTATTAAATGTTTAATTTCCCAATGCGCGCAGGCAATTTCTTTCGCTTATATGTGCAGCTCGCATTTCGAACATACGCAAAAAAAATAAATAAATCAAAAATACTACAAAATAAATAGCACCAAATTCGGAAAAATGCGGTAAGCGAAATAAGCCGCTTTGCAAGGGAAACTGTGCAGAACAAATCTGTCTACTTAAGACACTTGAGCGGTGTGAACCCCTAGCAAAAACGGACAACAAATAATTTTTCCCATTTTTCGCATAAAACCGCAACCATTTAAAAGTCAAAATCTAGCGAAAATAGAAAAAGGAGTAAAAAAAAAAAAAAAAAAAAAAAAAAATATATAAACAAGTTCACAGGTAAACAAAAACAACATAA